CTCTGTCTCAAAAAAAAAAAAAAAAAAAAAAAGAAAGAAAGTTCTAAACTTAATCCTAGAAAGGCCAAACCAGTGAAAGGATCCAGAGATACATAACAAAACAGGTAATGCTAACACTTAAAAATTTCCTAAGAGACTCATCAGAAAATACAGCAGCTTCCTCAGAGTCAAACTTCAAAAGTCAGTGCCAATGAACTAACCGACCACCTGTGGTAGAAACATTTCAGGGATTCGGTATATCAAAGCAAACGAATAAAGGAAAACTAAAATGCCAATTACTTAAAGCTTTTTGGATTTAGAATCTTGACTCAAGTCTGGGTTACACTATGAATCAGGGCTTTGGCTTTCCGTGAACGCCTCGGTCAAATCCCACTGCTTTTCGTCTGCTTCCTCATTTGCTAACACTGGCCAGGAAAAAGGGTCAATCTTTGCTATTGTCGCTGGACAGTGACTCCTAAGCATCCCAGATACCGAGAGAAGACGGAGCAGAGGCGAGACACCCAACTCGACTGCTGATGTCACTCCAAATGAAGAAGCTCACAGGACTCCGGAGGCTTTAGCATGCCAAGCTACCCAGACTAGTGTCCCACCTTATCCCTGCCCAAGTCAGTGGATAAGGAGGAGGGCCGAGGGCCCTGACTCTTTCTTTCCTCCTTCTTGACTTCCTACCTTCACTGCATACAACTTGCCGCCTTTCTGCCCCAGATACACTTTCCCGAAGGCGCCCCGGCTAATGGGCTTCACTATGTCGAATTCCTCAATGGAGGGCGGTCTTGGCACCGGGATCCTATTCACGCACTCTCCTGTCGCCGTGCCTCCTGCACTCTCCTTCTCGCTCCGGGTGGAGGGTTCCATCGCTGGACAGCTCAGACCAGAGCTTGCAATAGGCCAGCGGCCCAAACCCTTAAGCCAGCCGCCACTCCCGCCGACCCGGTTCAAAGTGACGCTCCACCCACGCCGCGCGCGCCGCCGTGACGTCACGGCGCTGCCGCGTCGAGCCGAGCACAACCACGCCCGGGTCACCGCCTCCGCGGCGACGCTCGACGGCTGGGACGTGGGCAGTGTCTCCAACCTACCCCGGACTCCTCCAGGGCCGAGGCCACCGCCCACTGACATCATTTGGAATGAGGGAGGAGGCACGAACTGTTCGCGGCCCACAGGACTTGACTCTGAATCGCGGGATTTGAAGAGATTGCTCTCGGCGTCCAAGCAAGACTGGTGGGAGGCTGCCCTCCTCCGCCTACACCTGCCGTTCCTCCCCGCCCCCCCAACCCCGAACTTCGTGACCTCCTCCCCCTGGGAGAAATGTAAACCAGTTCGGACTGTCCAGTGAAGCGGTGGACGGTCCAGGGCTGAGGTCTGGAGGCTAGTGAAGTCATGGAATGTGGAGGAACAGGATGAACAGGAAGCGGTGGCTGGCCCTGTAACCTGGCGTGTTCACAGGATGTAATTTGCCTGACTGAAACAGACTAGGTCCAACAGGAAGAAATTTCGATTTATTGTTAGGAAGACGGAGAGCAGTAAGTTGTAGCTAAAGACCTTATGGCTCAGGTCCAGTCACCTTTGGTAAGGAAGTTGTACAAAATCTGACAGGTGCAATAGGGTGAAGGTCTTTCTCCCCTTAAAATAAAGAAATCGATGGGTAGGAGAGCTTTGGGGTCTCCTCGCAAGGCTCAAGAACGTTGGGGGTGGCAGCCCAAGCAGAACGTTGATGTAGTGGTGCCCCGGAAGTACTGTTGCGTTAGCGTTTTGCCTTCCGGGGTAGATTGTCAGTCGTTGCAGCTGTAGGAAGGGGAAGCCATTTTCCGTTTCTGGGAGGAGTGAGGAACAGGAGTGGGAGAAAAGGAAGAAAAAGGGCTCAGCGCCTCCCCGCCAAGCCACGGACAGAGGGGCAGTTTCGGCAGGCGGGTGAGGTCGCTGCGGGCCCGGAGGAGATGTTTTCCCTGTCGAGTACAGTGCAACCGCAGGTGAGTGCGGCATTCAGCTCTTCTTCTTCTTTTTTTTTTTTTTCCGGTCTGTCGCGCCTCTTTGCCAATTTCGTAGATAAAAGCTGTTTCCCAAAAGGGACCCTTAGAAGGGACGCGATTAACTATACGCGAGTCCAGGGGTTGAGAAGTGGGTCAGGGGACAAGGCTGAAAGTCGGACTCGAGACTCGGTAAAGGGCTGCCGATAAAGCTTTGGGGGGGGCAGCAGCGTGATAATGAGCGTGATGGAGACCTCGGCTTATCTGATTGCTTGGAATTTGTGCTAGAGAATTTGTCAGGCATTGTTCAGTGTCGGGAATACTGGAGTGGGGGTGGGGAAATGTCTTCGGGGTCCATACAAAGGGAGCAGGTTAACGTTTCCTTCTAGTTCTTTAGACACTCCAAAGGCTTTGGTATTCACAATCCCTACGCCTTCTCTTTTCTTTCAAGTGACGTTTAAATTTAACTTAAATACAAATTTTTTATATTTGACCGGAAGTGATTAGTATATGTATTTTCGAGTCTGTAACAGCTTGTAATAGAAATTTTTATTCAGCCTCATCTCCGTCTTTTTGTAAAGCAGCAGACAAGGGAGAAGAAAATGATTTCAAGGGTTTTTGTTATCTTTTGTTATGGGTACTCACTTGTGACAATGTTTTGTTCTTCGTTCAGAATCTTTTCCCGATGGCTAACATTTTGATGAGTTTTTGAGACTTCCCACAGTTTTACAAATAAACGTTTTTTAAGAACATACAGATATTTAAGATGTTTTTAAAAGAAAATTGACACTCTTAGCTTCTTCGTTGAAGTGTGGTTGATTGTGTTCCTCTGTGTAACCCTATTCCCCTTCGTTTAAGTTTTCAGTGTTTTTTGTGTTAGTACTGCCTGATTCGTAGACATTAAAGTGGTTAGTTATTTATTGGGCTTCAATTATGTACCAGGTGAATAAAGCAAATGTGGAATCTAGTTTTTTTTTTTTTAAACATACTTAATGGCAAGAAACTGGACTGTTTTAATGGAGATACAAAGAAAATATGAATGGGAGTTAGCAAGGCAGAGAGTGAACAGGTATCTCTTGGCAGTCTGAAAAATATCTGTAGGTCTTGAGATAGTAAAGTGTTTAGCAGATTGGAGGAACAAAAATGAGGCTAGTGTGGCTAGAGCATAATGATTAAAGGGAGCAGTGTCAGAAATAGGTTGGAGAGAAAGATGTTTTAGAAGCCTTGAGACATCATACAGTATGAGTGAAAGTTGTCAGGGTTGATTTTGCTTTTTTTTGAGACAGAGTCTCACTTTGTCGCTCTGGGTAGAGTGCTGTGGCGTCACAGCTTGCAGCAAGCTCCAGCTGTTGGGCTTAGGCGATTCTCTTGCCTCAGCCTCCAGAGTAGCTGAGACTACAGGCGCCCGCCACTAGGCCTGGCTATTTTTTGTTGCAGTTGGGCTGGGGCTGAGTTTGAGCCCACCACCCTGGGCATATGGGGCCGACGCCCTAATCACTGAGCCACAGGGGCTACCCTGATTTTGCTTTTTTAAATTTCATTTTGTTTGTTGGAAACCATTTATGACATATTCAGATTTTCACTTTCTTTTTGTATTTTTATTTTTGAGACAGAGCCTCAAGCTGTCACCCTGGGTAGAGTGCCGTGGCATCACAGCTCATAGCATCTTCCAACTCCTGGGCTCAAGCGAGTCTCCTGCCTCTGCCTCCCGAGTAGCTGGGACTACAGGTGCCTGCCACAACACCTGGCTATTTTTTGGTTGCAGCCATCGTTGTTGTTTGGTGGGCCTGGGCTGGATTTGAACCCGCCAGCTCAGGTGTACGTGGCTGGTGCGTTAGCCGCTTGAGCCACAGGTGCCAAGCCTGTATTTTTGTTTTGAAACAGGGTCTCTGTTGCATGGGGCTATAGTGCAGTGGCATCATGTTAGCTCATTGCAACCTCAAACTCCTGGGGTCAAATGACCCTTCTGCTTCAGCCTCCCAGAGTAGTTGGGACTACAGGTGCACACCACCAAGCTCAGCTAATTTTTCTTTCTTTCTTTGTTTTTGTTTTTTGGGGTATTTTTGCCAGAAGGGAGGTAAAGTTGGAGTCTCACTTTGCTGCCCAGGCTGATCTCTAGCTCAAACAGTCCTCCTGCCTTGGCTCCCCAAAGTGCCAGGATTAATAGGAATGAGCCAACATGCCAGGTCCAGATTTTCATATCATTCTGGCTTCTTGCAATGTGGAGAGCGAAGGTGCTATTTATTTACCAAGATGACTTAATATGTGGAGGAGTCCTAGAATGGCCTATTGAATGTGGTATTAAAGCATTTGAAACTAAACTTCTTACCGTAATGTCAAGAAGACCTGTTTTTAAGAGAATTTGCTATTAACTAGATGGACAGTTAGAGATGGTAAAAGGATTTTGCATGTTACAGGCAGTTTTAACGGTTGACCAAAAGTAGGAGGACACTTAGGCATTTTATGCTGTGAAAGATGGTAATTCATTTGGACTTGCACTTGAATTTAAATGGTAAAAATAGGGAAGACACAGAAAATGAACTTTTCATTGAGAAGAGATCAGTCTTAAATCCTCTTTTTGAATGAGAAGAGATGCACTAATTAAACCTTTTCAAAGAAATTGGTAAAAAATACCTATCTTCAAATAATTTGATTATTTTAATAGTTTTAAAGAATTTATTGTTTCTGACTTTAAAACTACACAGACATGGGTGTGAATACTTAAGGTAGTTTTATAGTCTATTTTATTCATACCACTGAACATACTAAATCCTTGTTTTCTTCATCTATTAAATGGGAAGTATCCCTTAATAGTGGCATTAGTTTATTTGTGAGGGGGAATCCCTCATGACCTAAACAGTTCTGAAAGGTTCCACTGCTTAATACTATTACAGTGATACAGTTGAAACGCCTATATGCCTCTGGTCAAAAATGCTGTTTGGGAGAGAGCAGTGAAAAGACTTTATGCAGGCATACTTGTGAGAAACTGAGGCAGAATCCCATATGGCTGAGTTAATTGTGGGCCTAACATGACCAAGGCTTTGTCTGGAATAGCATTTCCAGACTGTGTTAAGGAATTAAGGTTGACTTTATAAGGCCAATGAAAAAGCCCTTTGGAAAACTGGTCAGATACCCATCAGTAACTTTTCCTGATCTGTGGTAAGTAACGAAGGTTGCTTGCTGACGGGTCTGGGAATGGAAATGTGCTTGGGGACCTCAGGAGAAGAGGAATTTACCCAATGCATACAGGTACCTAATGGCACAGATGAAACTTGGGCTCATGAAAGGCTTTTGAGAAGTCCAGCCTGAAAATTCCTTATAAAGCGTTCCTGCAAAAACCCTCTGACTTAAGGCCTACATGGGAGCAGAGGTTTACACACAAATTCCTGTATGCCCAAGAAGTTTCTTTATGCCCAAGAAGTTTCTTTATGCCTTGTTTAAAGGTCTGAAGTAACAGCCTCCAAATGGCAAGGCCAACAAGGGCAGGTATTCAGTCTACCTTGTTCCTCCATAGCCTCAGGCATCATCAGATAAGAACAAAGAAGTAATGGCTAAACATGTTCTCCATTAAGTTATGTTAAATTGGGTTATATTGAAAGGGTTATGTCAAAAGGTGTATGTTGAGTGGATTATTGGAAGCTAATCATGAGGTAGTTACATGATGTTTAAATGGATCAATGAGGTCATTGCTGTATTGTGCACATGTACAAAATTCCCTATATAAACCAACTGCAAATAAAGAAGCTTGCCATTTTGCCTGAGTGAGCAGATGGTCACCTTTATTTAAAACACAATTTCAATAAGCGTGCTTATTCTCTGTGACATCACTTTTCTGTGAGACCCTTACAGCAACACAGTGACAACTAAATTTCAACAGGAGTTTGGTGGGGGGGACAAACCCTCAAACCATGGCAGGAAGTATAATTGTCACTATTTAAGGCTCTTAGGAGGTTTCAATTAGATACTATAAATAAGACTTACAGTACAAAACTTGGTATATAATAAGAACCCATTAATTTACTTGTTTACTCAGCAAATATTTATCACCCAGTCTGTGTGCTGGTGTTAATAATGTGATATACTGAAATATATCAAGGAGTAGGGTGCTGGTCCCATATACCAGAGGTGGGGGGTTCAAACCCAGCCCCAGCCAAAAACTACCAAAAAAAACCCAAACAGACAAACCATGAAGTGCATTATAGGTCACAATTGTTAGGACTTTGTCTTCTTTTCTTACTCTGAGAAGAGAAGGCAATGGAGAGTTTTGAGCAGAGGTGTGACATGAACTGATAATGGTTTTAATATGATCATTTACCCTGTGCTGGGAATATACTATAGCTGGATAAAGCAGAACAGGGAGAGTAGTTAGGAGGCTACTGAACAGCCTGGTGGGGTGGGGAAGTTGAGAAGTTTAGAATAGTTTCCTGAAAGAATATGCCAGTTTTCTTCTCACTTGCAGTAAATCTGAATACTTAAGAGTTTTCAATATATAGTGTTAATGGTTGGTACATAGTATATGTCATGTTAACTTTTAACAAATCCCAGATCCTTACAGCAAAAAGGAGATAGTTTTATTTAAAAAAAAAAAAAAAACTACTTAATTTTATCTTTTATCTTTTTCTAGGTTACAGTTCCTCTGAGTCATCTCATCAATGCCTTTCATTCACCAAAAAACACGTTTATTTCTGTCAGTGGAGCATCAGTTTCTCAACACCAGCATCGCGATGTAATTCCTGAGCATGAGGCTTCCAGCAGTGAGGTAATAGTTTTTACGTTGATTGTATGACAAAGCCTTTTTGATACACAGTTGATAACTTGAACATCTTGGAAATTAGAGGCACTGATCCCCCTCAATACATTTGAAAGTCTGGGTTATAATTGTTAATTGTCTACATGTCCCTGTGAGCGTGAGCAGACAAGAAAATAATCCTAATACTGTTTGTAGTTAATTTAGAATGGGTTAAAGGTGGGTGTATTTCCACATATTTTTGTGGTTTTTAGATATTACTGCCTAATTTTTACACGTTTTTGAACTTGTTTGATTTCCTTTTATATTAAGAGGGTATAGGTGGATAACTTTAGAACATCTCAATTCAAGGGAGGATCTCAGGTATGAGGCCAGGGGAGTGAGGTGTCCTGTGGTAACCATACCATTTCTTTATTTCCTTTTGTTTATGAACATTTAGGGACTGGAAAAAGCTTAAAAGCTCCTTGGACTGCTGAGGATTATTACTCTCTAGTTCAAAAACCTTACTATTATCTTCAGATCAGTTCTGCACAGTTGGGGAAAGTCCCCCTGACCCTTATAAAACACATTTTTTATTTTATTTTTTAAGAGACAGAGTCTCACTTCGTCACCCTCAATAGAGTACTGTGGTGTCACAGCTCACAGCAACCTCCAGCTCTGGGGCTTAGGCTATTCTCTTGCCTCAGCCTCCTGAGGAGCTGGGATTATAGGCACCTGCTGTAATACCCAGCTATTTTTTTTGCAGTTTGGCCGGGGCTAGGTTTAAACCTGCCACCCTTGGTATATGGGACTGGCACCCTACTCACTGAGGCATAGGTGCCACCCTCTCCTCCATTCTTGTTATAAATGTTTGAATGATGGTTGTTAATAGGCTTGCTCTTTATAAAAGTACCTTATAAAAGTACCTTATATGAAGACAAGGGGAAAAAAATCAAACATTTCACTTGATTCTGTGATCCATAAAGCTTAATACAGTGGTGGTTTTTTTAAATAAAATGAATGAATGAAAAATTAGTTTTTCTCTCATTTATATTGAAATGTCATCTCTTTAAGGATGCAATTGAAAGTATAATTTTTTAACTTTTGTCAAACTTCATACAACTGACCTCAGTAAAATATTTGCTTTAGGCCAGGCACGATAGTTCACATCTGTAATCCTAGCACTCTGGAATGCCGAAGCTGGTGGATTGTCTGAGCTCACAGGTTTGGGACCAGCCTGAGCCAGAGCAAGATCTTGTCTCTAAAAATAGCTGGGCAAGAGGTGGCACCTGTGTCTCAGTGGGTAGGGCGCCCACCCCACACACCGAGGGTGGCAGGTTTGAACCTGGTCCTGGCCAAACTACAACAACAACAAAAATAGCACCATGATCTGGCGCCACCTCTTAAGTCCCAGCTACTCAGGAGCCTGAAGGAAGAGAATCGCCTAAGCCCAGGAGTTGGAGGTTGCTGTGAGCTATGATGCTACAGCACTCTACCAAGGGTGACAAAGTGAGACTTTGTCTCCAAAAAAAAAATTTGTTTCAATTTTTAAATATTAAAAAGTAAAGGGAAATTGATATATTTCTTATGTTTTTAAAGTTTATATTGTTTAAACTGATAAGAAGTACTGTTTTAAGTTAAATATCTTGATAATATTAATGCCTATACTTGGTGGACTTAATCTTTTACAGCCTGCACTTAACTTAAGGGACCTTGGATTGTCTGAATTAAAAATTGGACAGATTGATCAACTGGTAGAAAATCTACTTCCTGGATTTTGTAAAGGCAAAAACATTTCCTCCCATTGGCACACATCTCATGTTTCTGCACAGTCCTTCTTTGAAAATAAATATGGTATGTTAATATACCTTTGGTTTTAATTAAAATAAGCCATCTTAGTACTATTAATAATTATTTTCATAGATACCAGTTATTAGCATTTGCTGTGGGCTATATTCTTTCCTGGGTTTTCTTTCATTTTTATTTTTTTGTAAATCTTCACATTAGAATAATATTAGATGTACAGAAAAGTTGCATAGTACAGAGTTTTCGTATACCCTTCACCTTGCTTCCCTCTAATGTTGACAATTTCTATTACTGTAGTACATTGCTAAAACCAGGAGGATAACAGTGGTACAATTTATTTATTATTTATTTATTTATTTATTTTTGTGGAGACAGAGTCTCACTCTTGGTTAGACTGGTCTCAAACTCCTATGCTTAAGTGATCCACCTGCCTCAGCCTCCCTGAATGCTAGAATTGTAGGCTGAGCCACTATGCCTGACTAGGACAATATTTTTAACTAAAGTGCAGATCATTTGGAATTCAGTAAAATTTGATTTCTGCAAATCAGTAATTTTTCTACTAATGTCCCTGTTCTTTTGCAGGATTTAATCTTGGGTACTATATTACATTTAGAATAATGTGGAGATTTTGTTTGTTTTAATGTTAAGTGACACACATTTATTGAATTCTAGATAACAAACTTAATCTCTTAGTTGTGGTGTCTTTTATGAAATCTCCAGGTATTTTCTTTTTATTTTTGGCCGGGGCTGGGTTTGAACCTGCCACCTCTGGCATAGGGACCGGCGCCCTACCCCTCTGAGCCACAGGTGCCGCCCCATCGATGTATTTTCTTATTTGAGTTTTGTAACAATCTGGTATTATAATCAGACTTATACTCCTTGCTGTTGAAAGGATGTCACATTCATTAATATCTCTTTAGATGTCATTAAAACAAAGCTATAAAAGTCCTGGAATATCGGCTCGGCGCCTGTGGCTCAAGCAGCTGAGGCGCCAGCCACATACACCGAAGGTGGTGGGTTCAAATCCAGCCCGGGCCCACCAAACAATAATAATGGCTGCAACCAAAAAATAGCCGGGCATTGTGGCGGGTGCCTGTGGTCCCAGCTACTTGGGAGGCTGAGGCAGGAGACTCGCTTGAGCCCAGGAGTTGGAGGTTGCTGTGAGCAGTGAAGCCATGGCACTCTACCCAGGGGGACAGCTTGAGACTCCGTCTCAAAAAAAAAAAAAAAAAAAAAAAAAAAGTCCTGGAATATAAGCAGCGCCCTGTGGCTCACTGGGTAGGGTGCTGGCCCCATATACCCAGGGTGGTGGGTTCAAACCTGGGCCCAGCCAAACTGCAACAGAAAAATAGTCGGGCGTTGTGGTGGGCGCCCATGGTCCCAGCTACTCAGGAGGCTGAGTTAAGAGAATCACGTAAGCCCAGGAGTTGGAGTTTGCTGTGAGCTGTGTGATGCTATGACACTGTACAATAAAGTGACACTCTGTCTCTACCAAAAAAAAAAAAAGAAAGAAAAAGAAAAGTCCAGAAATAAAAAAGCAGGTTTGAGTAGTTTATGATGAAGGTTTGATTTGTATCTATACTTTGCATAAACTTAATTCATTTGGCAATTATTTTTCCTTTGTCATTATTTTACAAAACACTTAAAAAATGCAAGAGTGAAAAAAAAATGAAATGCTTTTAAGCTTGGGGAATTACTATAAAAATCTGCTTGTATTTTATAACTTCTTCTAAAATACTTGGTCCATAAAGCACAATTTTTTTGTTATATTATAATTTCTAGTGTTCTTCTAGTCTGCGTATTTGCATTTACTTTCTTTTTGTAGTTTTTTTTGCATTTACTCTTAAGGTTATTCCTCATTCTGCCAGCTGCTTGCTAAGTTTAGGCAGGGAGAGGTTTTGGGAAGAAATTTTTTTGACTCCAGTCTGAAGCCTGAATTTTAACAAGGACATACAGACAAATAATAACTGCTCATGGCTTCTATTGTTGGTGGTGCTGACCTTTTTCCTCTAGGATCTTAGGTGTAAAATACAATGGAACACATAAGTCAAGAGAAGGAGTTAGGAAGGGTCACTGAAGTATTCATGGCTTATAGCCATGGAAGAAACTTTCTTTATACCCAGTGACTATGGAAGCTTTATCATTACAATTTTTGAACCTAGTCTCTCAGAAATATCAGGTCTTTATCTCTTTAGCACTTAACTAATAATTTTAACCTAAACATATTTATCTTTTACCTCTATTGATTTGAATTTGACTTCTGATTTGCATACTAGGGGAAAAGATAATCTAATCAACAAATGGTGGAGCAAATCAAAGAACTCTACTGTGAGATTTAAAGTAATTAGATTAGCAATGTTTTAGATATTTTCATAAAAGAATAATCTTTTCATGGACAAATAAAAGTTGAAATCAATTATATTGATATTGTTATTTTCCTAATACTTGATAAAATTATTGATATTTCATAATGATTTTTGGTTTGGCAGTTGGAAAATTTACTTTTTGCAATTTCCCTCCAGGTTACTTAGATATATTTAGTACTTTACGTTCCTCTTGCTTATACAGACGTCATTCAAGAGCTCTTCAAACCATTTGTTCAGATCTTCAGTACTGGCCAGGTAAGAAGCAATAACCTATTTATTTTGAAGAAAAAAACCCAACATATATTCTGATTTTTCTTTCTCAACAGTATTAATGTTTATAAACATTTGTTTGCATTTCACAGTAGGACTTAAAGAGTATTTGGTATTGATTAGTTTGGGTGCCTCTGTATAATTTTTAATCTGGAAAACAAGTAATCGGAGCTATATTTTGAATGTGATAAATGGCACAGAAAATTTAAGCTCCAGGGAACTTACTTATCTATACTTGTTCAAAAATAACTAATTGAGCAAATTTGCTTACTTTTGCTCACTTTCAAAGCCCATTTAAGTACTGGAAAAAAATACATAAAAATGAGAAAAAGTTAGGACACTACCAGAGGGTTTTTATTAATGGACCAGAAATTGGAGGACTTTCAGTAAGTTATAAAATAGATGAAATTAAATTGATAGCAAAATCAAATTTGTATTCCTTCGTGTATTTATTGAATACCAGCACTGGTGATAGTTAGGTGATAGTAATAATTTAAATGAAAAGACATATTTCCTACCTTTATGGAATTTACAGTAGAATGTCATGAAAGAAGTGAGTACTACTACTGGAACTCAGGAAAAACCCCAAGCACAAGAGCCAATAAAAGTGAGACAATAATAATAAATAGTTGAAAGATTGCCAAAAATGGGTTAATAACAGAGCAGGTACATAAAGCTTTTAGCTTTTATTTAAATTAGCAAAAAATACCTTTCTAATAAGGTGTGAGTATGTGTGTTGAGGGGATTCTGACTCCTAATTTGAGCTTCGATGACAAAGACATAGGACAGTACCCCAAATTACTTTGGTTTTAAATCATATATACATGGTAGGTATATTAGGCATTCATCATAGTTCATGTTTTGTAGTCTGATATATTTCCTACCATAGTAGTGTTGAAGAAACCCTTTTGCAGTCATTACTAATTGCTGTATTCTTTACAAATAGAAATGGATTAACAAGATTCTCCACATTTTTGAGGAAAATTTCTAGCATGAAAAAGAGGCACCTGGCTTGGCGCCTGTGGCTCAAGTGGCTAAGGTGCCAGCCACATACACCTAAGGTGGCGGGTTCGAAGCCAGCCTGGGCCTGCCAAACAACAATGACAGTTGCAACCAAAAAATAGCCAGGCGTTGTGGCAGGCGCCTGTGGTCCCAGCTACTTGGGAGGCTGAGGCAGGAGACTCGCTTGAGCCCAGGAGTTAGAGGTTGCTGTGAGCTGTGATGCCAGGGCACTCTACCCAGGGGGATAGCTTGAGGGTCTGTCTCCAAAAAAAAAAGAGTAAGTCTGTTAATTCATCATATTAATTAGAAAAGAAAAACTATTTCAGTGTATGATAAAAAGGCACATGATATATTTTAATTGATATGTTTTCTAAAAACTCTTAGAAAACTAGAAACTTAGAAAATGGATGTAAACTTTTCAGATTTTTTTTTTTTTTAAATAATAGCTGTGTACATTAATGCAATCATGGGGTACAGTGTGCTGGTTTTACATACAATCCGAAATGCTTTCAGCAAACTGGTCAACATAGCCTTCATGGCATTTTCCTAGTTATTGTGTTAAGACATTTATATTCTACACCTAGTAAGGAAACTTTTCAGATTTCTTAAAGCATCTTTTATATTCCTGTTAATTGAGAAACATAATGTTTATGTACTGTCGATTTTTTTCCCCCAACATTAATTTAGAGGTCCTGAACAATATGATTAAAAGAAAAATGAGCTGTATATAAATTAAAGGAACAGGCAAAATTATAATTTTCAGGTGATATATTGCTTACCAGAAAATTAAAGAAAATCACCCCCCAAATAGTAAAAGTTGCTACCAAGATAAAGACATAAAAGTCAATAGTTTTCTTCATGTTCTAGCAGTAGATTTTACTTACATTTTCCTCAAAATCTACATATAAATGTAAATACATACACATATGTATACTAAGATTAAGGAAATAAAGAGTTGTATAAAATAAAATGAGAGAATGCCATAATCATGTTTGGAAGGACTAGATTATTAGAACAGTATCAGTTTATGCCCAAATTTATAAATTTGTACAACTCTGATCAAAACTCTGAAGAGGTGTTTTGGGAATTGAGCAATTGACTGATTTATTGATTGATTAGCAGGGTTTCATTTTGTTGTCCAGGCTGGAGTGCAGTGATTTCATCATAGCTCACTGCAACCTCAAATTCCTGAGCTGAAGGGATCCTGCCGTCAGCCTTCCGAGCAGCGGGGACTACGTTGTGCACTATCACACCCAGCTAAATTTTCTATTTTTCATAGAAGCAGATCTCTTTTGCTCAGAGTGGTCTTGAACTCCTAGGCTGGAATGATCTTCTGTCTTGGTTTCCCAAAATTCTGAATTATAAGACATGAGCATAGAACCAGGCCAAAAATTGATTTTAAACTTAATTTGGGATATATGTTGAAAAACAGTGTTAATGAGGGGGAATTATCTTATAGACGACTTTTAAATTCTTAGTTTGGCAGTAGAACTCTAATCAAATCAAAATGAAGAAAAAAACAACAGATTAAGCAATATGGGCTGCATGCGAAGGCTCATGCTTGTAATCTTAGCACTTCAGGAGGCCACTGTGGGAGAATTGCTTGCACCCAGGAGTTTGAGACCAGCCTCAGCAATATATCAAGAAAAAGATATGTTATCCTATTTTTTAATCAAATCAGAATGCAGAAAAATAACAGATTAAACTCACCCAGGAGTTTGAGACTAGCCTCAGCAATATATCAAGACCTCATCTGAACAAAAATGGAAAAATTAGCTGGGTGTGATGGTGCATACCTGTAGTCCAGCTACACAGGCAGCTAAAGCAGAAGGATTGCTTGAGCCTAGGAGTTTGATTTTGCAGTGATTTAAGGTGATGGCCACTGCACACTAACTCAGGTTACAGAGTAAGAACCTATCTCAAAAAAAGAAAGAAAGAAAAATACATAATTCAAAGACATTAAAATATTCAATATATATAACTGAAAAATCCTATCTATAGTATATATATTCTGTAAATGGAAAAATGTGCAAAGAGCATGAATAGTCAGTTTACTGAAGAAATATAATAATACAAAAGTATCTTTCAAAATTATCTGGGAAATAGAAAGTAAAACAAGGTACAATTTTTTAACCCATCAACTTTGTACAAATTTAAAAGATTACGCATTGTTGGCAAGGGTATGGAGAAAAGGACACTCATTTTCATTGGTGGGTCCATAAATTGATAATAGCCTTTCAGAAGACAATTAATTTAGGTGTCAAAAAATTTAAACCTTACAGTTACACTGTGAATTTAGTTTACATCTGCCGAAGGAAGAGTATATGTACAAGAATATTCATTACAGTTCTGTTTTTAGCAATAGAAAACAGGAAACAAATGTTCATAGTGAAATGGTTGAATAAATTGTTGTATTATGGCAAATTGGAAAATTGTAAATGGCCATTCAGCTGAATGCATTGTCTGATTCTGAAAAGTATGTATGATGTATTACTAAGTGAAAGAAGATGGCTGCAAAAAATTGTGTACTATTTCTAGAGTAATTTTTCTAGAAGAGCATGTCTGCATGCATGAAAGGGTAGTGGTAGAATTAACAGTGCTTCTCGTAAGTGGGAGTGGGGGTTAAGGAATTAAAAAACACTGATTTTTACTTGATATTCTTTTATATCTTTTTCTGAAAAAACATTTTGTAATTAGCAAGAAAATGTAAAAGTTAATTATATAGATTCAGTCTATTTTATAGATTTGGCTTTTTTTGAAAAATGTCAGTTTATCAGAGTTGCTATCCTGTTTTCTAAATTATACATTACTGATGACTTCTCTATACATTATTGACTTCTCTAATTTGTTTTTTCACCTGTCAACATAAAATAAATGGAATATTTAAAGTTCTTTTTGTAAAAAAGGTGACAGGAAAAAAATATAAAAGCATGTTGAAGTTCAGGCAAAAGAACTATGTCAAAAATAGGATGAGCTAGGACTTACAGTGATGGTGTCAGAGTTTAGCATCTTAGGCATTTTTCTTTTCTTGTAACAGTTTGCAGCGAAAGTAAATGATAACTGTTTTATTCAGTTTTTATACAGTCTCGGGGTTTTAAAACTTTGAAATCAAGAACACGACGGCTACAGTCCACCTCTGAAAGATTAGCTGAAACACAGAATATAGCACCATCATTTGTGAAGGTAATTAGACTTTTTTTCTTGTGTTCCAAAAAGCAAATATTTTTCAAGTTTTAGAAAAAAACAAGGATCTTTAATATCTGATTTGTTTGTTTTTGGCAGGTAGATTTTCTGCATTCTTTCCACTTACGATAAGGGATTAGTGACTGAGTAATCACTAACTTTTCCAGATACTAGACTCATCTATCCACTTGTTAGACATTTCCCTCTGATTTTTTTCCCCACCAATCTACACCTGCTTAGGTGCTGTCCATGTTAATGACCAGTGTCCACCCAAGCTAGAAACCCAGTGATCATCTGCCACATTCATTCACCATCAAATCCTGTTGATCAACCTCTTTCTTAAGCATTTTTTTTTTTTTTTTTTTTTTTGGTCACAACAACC